TTTTATATAGGCCAAAATCTCAATAGGTGTTGCCTCAAAGAGTTGGTGTAATGATTATTTATGTATTTAATCATAAAATGGTGCTTAATTTTTATTAAGCACCACCTTAATTTATGCAAAAGGGAACACGTGTTACAGTGCAGTTTCTGCTGTTACTGGAGATATTTTAGCGGACTATAGTCACTAGTTTTACCAGCATGGATGAATTGAATACTTAATTTACCTTTCTAAAAAACTGTCGAATATCCATCCTGTCGACTCAACCTGACTTTCGGCAATGAACTGTCAGTTGTTGCGTTAGCATTTGATGTGGCGATGGTGACAGACTGTCACTAGACAGACTGTCACCATCGCCACATCAAATGCTAACGCAACACCTGTTGCGTTAAGGAAACCTGGGAGATTTAACATTACAATAATGGCAGGTTATCGAAATATAATTGAAAATGGCCACATTACATTGAATTTGATGCAATATATTAGCAAAAGTAAAGGAAAAATAAATATATATATTTTTTAAATAATGCAATGAAATTATTTAGGGGGGCTAAAGACATTTTTAGGGAGGCTGAAGCGTGTGAAGTGTGCCAAGGTCACGAGCTGATCACAGGATCCCATACAGCAAGTTAGAGGTGGGCATATATATCCAGTGATTTATAAAACAGTCAATTCTGTTGTTTTCATCAACTGCCATGATGTAGCCCTGGTATGTTTATAATTAGAAAATGAGAATACATTACATCTGACACTTCAGGTTCCGGTTAGGATTCGGCTGCTGTTGCTGCTGCCGCTGCTATTGCTGTTGAGCAACCTCCAATTGGGTCCCAAAGCGGCTTCTAAAGCCACAGCGACCCGGGTACCTGCAGATCCGGTTGTCGGCTGTTGACTGGGAACTGTTCGTAGCCCGAAGGCACGCCCAACAATGCTTGGAGGTCGTTCCCAAGTTGGGCTGCTGCTGTTGCTGCTAAGACCGCTGCAGCAAACTTCTTTCAGCAGGGTGAATTTTACAAACTATGTATTTCATAATATGTCCTTTCAGTCTGTGGTGCAAAAATAAGACTGGGCACCGGACGGCTGCCTTTGAGCGTCATGGTTCTGTTTGTTTGTTCTCTGAGTAGGCAAGATCGGAAGGCGTTTCGTCCAGCGCTGCACCAGTTCGTCATTGTCATCATCTCCTGCCTACTTCAGGACTGCCACGCCGACCACTTGTCATGTTGTATTGTGTCTCGTAGTGGTGTGTTTTAGTTCCTAGTGTGTTG